ACAGAAGCACAGTACCACAACAATGGATTTTGGTCACTGGTGGTATGTAGCCTCCAATCAAAATCACTTTAGCCACATTGCAGGAACAGAGAAATTACACCAACTTCATTTGCGTATGTTTTAATGATTGCATTTCAGTTATTTGTATTTACGGTATACTGTAATTTTAAATTATTGTGGTTTTCATTGACATACATTAAACACATCACGGTATATTTGTGTTTCTCTGGCCAAAAATTGTGCGAGCTGCTAAGCTATTTTTGTTCTCCATAGTATGGAAATTACTCTCTGTCTGCAAAGCTGCATGTGACACGGAGACGGGACAGCAGCTGTTCTGCAGGCGGGAGCAAGAACGACACCTTGAGCAATGGGGCCAATTTCACAGCACCACAGCAAAACATGCGTTTCCAATGTGCTGTACTTTACTTCGATATTAATATCCTGTTACCATGAGTATAGCGAGAGGTGGCGCAGTAATTTTTCGCACATGAACCCTGTGACCTGGCTTACATACTCTGCCACGGCTAGCATCAGTGGAGTTGTGATATATTAACTGGTGGGTGTTGGACTCCATATTCACCATCTCACACTGACCAGCATGGTAAAGTATGGTAAAAAAAATGCACATAACTGACATGGCGTGGAGTGGCCTTCATCCAGCAGTGGATTGGCAAAGGCATGTATATAATGATAATAATGATAACAACCATTATTTGTATTTGAAGTGTTTACATTTGTATATAAATGTGTTTTTTGAAGCTACCACGAGAATAAAATAATAGACTGAGATTAATTAAGTGTGCCGCACCTCCGATGAGCACGCTTGGATACATAAGGTGGGAAATAATTTCAACATAGTACATACATCATGCTTATAATGAACCTCCTTACAGAGGTTCATTTTAAGTAAATGTTTGCCAAATTATTTCACAATTATTACTTTGGACTCACAAGAGCGTCTCTTGGCATATGCTGGACGGTGGCATTTGTGCAATGGCATTATGAATGGTCCGTTACCCTTACCAGGTAAAGAGACCATTAAGATAAGTCTCTCTTGCTCGGAACACTTGGATTAATGTACAAAAGATGCTGAATAATTATACGAACATTGTAGTCGTCTGCTTTTGTATGGTTGATGTAGATGCAGATCAACAACTACAATTTCACATGCAGGTGGTCAAGCCAGACAACTGCGTCAGGAGCAAGCAGATTGTATCATTGTGATGTCTACTTCGTATTTGTGGATCGGGCATTGAATCGTTATATGTTGTATGGCCTGTTCTGAATGGCCACAGTTGCACACTGGTGCAAAATCAATACTGAGTGTATAAGGTCACAATATGAACATTTAAACCTAAAGTGCATATTTGAACATGTACGATCCTTAATTTAAAAATACTTCATAACATGTGATGTGTTGAAAGAAAGTATTTATAAAGCCTCCGCCAAACCCAAAATAATCATTACTTTATCTGATCTAATGAAGGATTGGTTGTTGCAATCAGAAAGTTGTGTGAACGCATCCTCAGTTACCACCTCAAGTTTTGACAAACTGTTAGTGATTTACCTTGTCACTGAATATCCCATACTGCTGGTGTCATGTTGTAACAACATGATGGATGTCTGAAATTATATGCAACTCTATACAATGCAGACAACAATAAACAACGTCGTGTTTTCTACCGCAGTGTTTAAAATACCGTACACTGTCTATAATAGCATTTGGATTAGTACAGTGTCTAAATGCAACCACATCTCAAGACACTGTACAGAATAATGGGATCTGGGTATCCTGCAGAAAGTAGGCATGTTGATTAATTACGTTTATACGTGGAAAGTTACAGCCAGATTCAAAGAGGGAGGTCTTGAACCTCGATTCGAACAGGGGTGGGTAGTCAAGAGCACCAATAGCAGAGGGGAGTTTCAGGCTATGTGGGTAGCGCAGGGGATAGAGCGACCTCCCAGGGGCGAATCCACGGAGGATCTTGAAGATGGTGAATGCAGCCTTGTATTTGATCCAGGAATGGATTTGGAGCCAGCAGGGAGATTATCGAGCCGATGTTGGGGGCCTTTTGGCAGGCGAGAGTTGCCGATTCTACCAGCAGCATTACTGTAGTGCATTGTAACCTTGTGAACCTACTGTAGAAACATTTTTGTTGATCCACAAGACGAACAAAATACGGTTTCGTGTTTATTTTGGCAAAAAAAATCATGCCAGGCATGGTAATTATTTGACCATACTTCGCAATTCCAAGCAAGGGTTGATAAATTGAGAGTCCCAGTATTGGTTCGTGTCACTTGTTACTGATTGACCCGTGGGAATGAATCAAACTCAGGCCACGAATTTCATAGCGTACTTTGTTATCCACTACACCACCTGTTCACACCAATTATAATTCCGCCTAATAATACTGTAATGATATTTATTTACCAAGAAAAGTCCTTTATTTCCCGGAAAAGTCTCAAGCCTTTTTTTGTGAGGGTCTTATATTGGGATATTTGTCCAACACCCTTCAAATGTGTTATGCATTTACAGAGGAACAGAGAAACACACATAGACACAGCAGACTCAGTGACAGAGACACATATATAATACATTCCTAGTTTTCATACATCACTCTGCCGTGGTAGATTAAATATCTCTAGTTTTTATTCAACCTTGTATTCATTGTGTATGTTCTCTGAAAATTCTACCTTTGCAAGCAAGCAACAAAGCTGTGAAATTTCTCATAAATTTTTGGGTGACAGATGCTAATATTCTAGAACAATAGTAGTTGGTGGGGAAATTTATCAAACCACCATTATTATAACAAATTGAGGCCCAGTGCATGCTGCAAAAGTGATGGCTATGGCATGATAGACTTAAAAGCTCTGCTCAAATGCACTTGATCTCCGTCAGGTGTGTCCATTAATGCTGCGCTGTAATGCATGTGGTGTGTTCTGGAGATGACTTATCCCCCACTTTAAAAACAAAGAAAATCCTCTCAATAAATATTACTATAATTTGGGGATGTTGCCATAGTGTAATGGTTATTCCACTTCATTTCCCTCACCTCTGGCCACCCAACAGTATAAGCTCTTATTTAACCAGGTAAGGCCCAGAAGCGACCTGGGCACAAATGATAGCTCAACGAAATGCCTGATCATGTGGAAATTAATTGCAGCCAAATACACTAAACGAAGGAGGCAAGATTAGAGCAATACACTCCGCTCCTCCTGATGCACATGTTTTTAAATGTGGAGGGAAAAAACCAGAGGACCCAGATACAAATCCATGCGACCACGTGAAGAGAGACATGCAAACTTCAAATATACAGCTGTCACTGGTTGTCGATTGGCAGGTCACGTACCTCTTCTGTGACATTTGGCCAGCATTGAAGAGTAGGCCAATCACATACTCGTAGAGGGCCTTCCGTCAGCAGTGGCGTGAGCAAACACTGGTAAGGCTGCACGTTTACCTCTAACTATAATTCACATGCTCAATAAAAAAAATATATTCCCCTCTAATATTACCCTTCCAGTAAACCTGTTGACAAAATTCCCACGAAATCAAACCCCACCACATGCAAAGGTAGTGAAATGTTAACTACCTCGCCTGATATACAGGAGATTGCAGATTCGATCCCGACCCTGATGCCTGTATATTTGGAGTTTGTATGTTCTCCCCGTGGTCGTGTGGATCTTTCTCCGGTTCCTCCGGGGTTTCCCTTCACATTTAGGAATCAACATCATGTGTTTATAGTATTTGGCTGCTATAAATCTACACATAAGCCATTTCGTTGGGATAACATTTGTGGCCAGGTTGCTTATGAAAAAGAGTTTTTAGCTCAGTGGGCCTTAACCTGGCAATTTGTTTTTATAGTTTAGTTTTGTAAAGCCTCGGTGCTGACATTAAAGGCCTGCTCGCCTCACATGTTAAACGGTGCTCCGGGTAATGCTGTGACTCACAAAAAGTCTAGGATGGAGATGACTCAGCTCGTCTTCCCTAATGAATCGATAACTTGAGTACCATTTTGTGGGAAATCATTTTGTGGAGTAGTGGTGCAGTGGTTCACGCACTGCGCTGTCACTCCAGCACGGTGAGTTTGTTTCCCAGCCATGGCTGGCATTAAGTGGCTCGTGAGATCTGAGACGTTTCGGGGCTTGCACCCCACTCAGTTCACTCGCCCGCACTGACCAGCGGATACAATTTTGTTCGGTGGATTAACAGCCGTATTAGTGGATGAACGGCTGTATTTGTTGATGTTCTACGAATAGACTGACACGTGCATGCCATGGTAATTTGTAATACAAAACCATTCCCCGATGGGAGATGATTCCCAACCCCATTATTTGTTTCTCTGAGCAGGCAGAAGTTTGACTCGATTTGTGTTAAAATACCTCACGGGATTTTCATTCACAAGAGTCACCACGTACGACGTGGCCTTTACAAGAAAGCCACTCAATGTTTTGTTTTGTTAACCGACCACCGACACACCGGAGGTGTTCGCTCAGGAACACTCCCACGCACGTGGAACTGCCCACACCCTATGACGTCACACGCCCATGGCGTGGTCGACTTACAACCCCGTGCGCGCGATGACGTCACGAGCGTGGCCGTAACGTGGGCGGTGACGTCAGGCGCTGTAAAAACGCCTTGCGTGGTGACGTCACGCACCGCGTGTTGACGTCAGGCGCAACGCCCCCTTCCCCCCGGCGAGCGCCGTACAAACATCCCCCTTTTGCGTGACGACGTCACATCCGCACGCAAGGCGTTCATCGGGGCGTGACGTCACTACGCAAGGCGTTCATCGGGGCGTGACGTCACCACGCAAGGCGTTCATCGGGGCGTGACGTCACCACGCAAGGGCGCTCAACCGCCCCTCCTCTACTCGCTGCGCCCTTCGGAAAGATGACGCGCGGCCGCCGCGGCGAAAGCGACGGCGTTTGACGCCGTGCGTGGTGACGTCACGCCGGCGTGGTGACGTCACCGCGCCGGCCGAACCCCCCACGCGCCGATGTAAATATTTAGATCGCGGCGGGCGGACGGACGGACGCATTAGCGCAGGCGGCGTCAGCTCACGAGGCCTTGCCGCCCAATTAACATCGTATTCGTTCAAGTATTCGGTTGGCGGTGGTCGATTTGTGCTCGCTGTTGTCATGTCGGTGGAGATGGACGAGTTGAGGCACCAGGTGATGATCAACCAGTTCGTGTTGACCGCTGGCTGCGCCGCGGACCAGGCGAAGCAGCTGCTGCAGGCGGCGCATTGGCAATTCGAGGTGAACACGACATACACGACGACACGTAAATAATGACAACTGAGTCATGACTACAAGGGTTACAATAATAAGGCATAGCGACGTCGAGATTTGGAACGGTACGGATAGCAACATCGATGTTAACTTGCGAATAAGATGAACGCCAAACGACATTAATACATCGGCAATGACTAATGGTAATGACATTATAGGCAATACAATTTGGTCGTCAAGCAATACAAATAACGGCATCGACAGTTTAAACAGGAATAACGAATACAATAAATATAACTAATGATATTAATAATTATATGAGTAACAAAAACAACAGAAATAATAAGAGCATAACTATAACGGAATACAGTACGTAAGTATAAACAACAACAATCGCTTATAAACACAAACAACACCAGCGGCAGAAACGTAATACACAAACAAAACTCGCGTAAACAAAACACAGACCGAGCAGTACGTACACAACAATACATACAAGACACCAACAAACACAGCTGCAACAATAACAGCACAAAGTCAACGTAACATACCGACACACAAACAACAACAACAACCATAACACATTACACGCATGAGAACACGCGTAACAATAGCAAACATTCAACACACACACGTAACAATAACAACAACAACCCATAACAACACACTACAATCGCAAGCATGAGAACACACGTATCACGAGCAAACATCCAACACACACGTAACAACAACAACGACGACACTGACACGACAGCAATGGAAGCGGTGGAGGATAACAACAACAACAGCAGCGACCATGTTAGAAAGCCTCGTGCTGCCGGAGGAGCCTGAGCGCTTAACATGGCGACCCGCCTCGTTGAGCCCCCCTCCTCCTCCTCTGCCACTGTCTCCCTATCCTCCTCCCCCCACCACCACCACGACCCTCGCCGTGTCTGTCTATTCATTTGTCTCTCTGTCCCTTGGTTGTCCATGTCTGGCTGTCTGCTCACTTTGTCCACGTGTCAAAGTCCCATTGGTTTTTCGGTTCCCATTATTTCTCAGCTGTCTCGTGTCCCGTTCGTGTCTGTCTCCTACCTGTTTCACACCCCCCCCCCCCCCCCCATGTGTATATGTATGCCTGTCTTACTGCGTCTCTGTATGCCTGTCTTACTGCGTCTCTGTATGCCTGTCTTACTGCGTCTCTGTATGCCTGTCTTACTGCGTCTCTGTATGCCTGTCTTACTGCGTCTCTGTATGCCTGTCTTACTGCGTCTCTGTATGCCTGTCTTACTGCGTCTCTGTATGCCTGTCTTACTGCGTCTCTGTATGCCTGTCTTACTGCGTCTCTGTATGCCTGTCTTACTGCTCTCTGTATGCCTGTCTTACTGCGTCTCTGTATGGCCTGTCTTACTGGCGTCTCTGTATGCCTGTCTTACTGCGTCTCTGTATGCCTGTCTTACTGCGTCTCTGTATGCCTGTCTTACTGTGTCTCTGTATGCCTGTCTTACTGTGTCTCTGTATGCCTGTATTACTGTGTCTCTGTATGCCTGTCTTACTGTGTCTCTGTATGCCTGTCTTACTGTGTCTATGTATGCCTGTCTTACTGCTGTCTCTATATGCCTGTCTTACTGTGTCCTCTATGTCTGTCTTACTGTGTCTCTGTATGCCTGTCTTACTGTGTCTTGCGTCTCTGTATGCCTGTCTTACTGCGTCTCTGTATGCCTGTCTTACTGTGTCTCTGTATGCCTGTCTTACTGTGTCTCTGTATGCCTGTCTTACTGTGTCTCTGTATGCCTGTCTTACTGTGTCTCTGTATGCCTGTCTTACTGCGTCTCTGTATGCCTGTCTTACTGTGTTTCTGTATGCCTGTCTTACTGTGTTTCTGTATGCCTGTCTTACTGTGTCTCTGTATGCCTGTCTTACTGTGTCTCTGTATGCCTGTCTTACTGTGTCTCTGTATGCCTGTCTTACTGTGTCTCTGTATGCCTGTCTTACTGTGTCTCTGTATGCCTGTCTTACTGTGTCTCTGTATGCCTGTCTTACTGTGTCTCTGTATGCCTGTCTTACTGTGTCTCTGTATGCCTGTCTTACTGCGTCTCTGTATGCCTGTCTTACTGCGTCTCTGTATGCCTGTCTTACTGCGTCTCTGTATGCCTGTCTTACTGCGTCTCTGTATGCCTGTCTTACTGCGTCTCTGTATGCCTGTCTTACTGTGTCTCTGTATGCCTGTCTTACTGTGTCTCTGTATGCCTGTCTTACTGTGTCTCTGTCTTACTGCGTCTCTATATGCCTGTCTTACTGTGTCTCTATGTCTGTCTTACTGTGTCTCTATGTCTGTCTTACTGTGTCTCTGTATGCCTGTCTTACTGTGTCTCTGTATGCCTGTCTTACTGTGTCTCTGTATACCTGTCTTACTGTGTCTATGCCTGTCTTACTGTGTCTCTATGCCTGTCTTACTGTGTCTCTATGTCTGTCTTACTGCGTCTCTGTATGCCTGTCTTACTGCGTCTCTGTATGCCTGTCTTACTGTGTCTCACCTTTCTGCCTTGGCTGCGGCCTGCCGATCATCACTGCACAAGTGTCCACCTGTCCCTGACCATCTCCTTACCCGTTCCCCATTTGACACCGACACATCTAAAAGTGTCCCCCTCTCTGTCTCGCTTTCATCGTATTCCTTGTCTCGCCATTTTCCCCTTTTACGTGTTATCTTCATGTGTCTATTATAATGTTTCCCGTCTCGACCCTGTGTCTCTAACCTATCTCCCAGTTTTCTCCCTGTCTCATCCGTCGTCTTGCATTCTCTTTCTCCGACTCGCCGTTCCCTCCTGGTCCGTCTCCTCTTGCCTCTTCTCTCCCCAACGTATGTCTTCTTTTGTTTTTATCCCCCAGACTGCACTGAGTACGTTTTTTCAAGACGGGAATATGCCCCAAAGTCATCAGTACCACCAGATGGTGAGTATCTGCCACATGACCCCAGCGTTCACTATGCCATGACCCCAAGCCACCCTGTCCATCGGCTGAACTGCAGACGATGCTATAATGGTCACTGCGGTACATGTACTTGTCACTGGCGTAGCTTGGTTAGTGTGGACCCTGGTGCCAGTATTGAAATTGGGCCTTCCCCTGTCATCTCTCTGGTCTGACGCCTGGGTCCGTGGGCCCGGATGTGCAGTTGCAGGCCCTGCAAATCCACTGGTACAAGTGTTTGCCGTAGGTGATGATGCATGAGTTCTGATTGCGCTTGGCTTTTGCCGACGTGGTCACGATGCTGTCGCTGGAGATGTTTAAAGTGGGTCACGTGCTCACATTGTTTTTCTGCCGGGATCTAGCGGCACACTGGTTGTTAACACCAGTTGTGGAGCAGTCTGCATATGCTGCAAACACTGCTGAGAAATGAGGGATATTACAACTCTTTGTCAACTGCAACCATGGTGACCAGGTAAAAATGAAAGTACCAACCATGTTTGAACATTTTCACCTTTGTGTGAAACTATGGGTTAAGCAGGAGTTGAGTTCCATGCATACAGGGGTAGTTTGACCATACTTTGTCACGGTGGTCATTGCGGGTTGGTGAAGGGGCCAGGGCAGGGGGAGAGACACCAGGACCGTGTTCAGATGTCATTCGCTGGAGAATCGAACTCGAGCATCGGATTAGTGGATATACAACTATGTATATACAACATTATGTTGTCTATATTGTGATGATTACAATGCCACTACGACAATTCGGCATCCATAACCTAACTAATCTGCAATGTGGCCTTGAATATATATAGCATCCATGTTTGTAAAGCGGTTATGTAGTGTTACAGTGCTTTACGTAAGCATTGTGTTTGACCGAGAATTTGCACTTGAAATTGGAAAGACGCTGACCTTGCCATTCATTCAACTTGCGTTGTATATATTTTTTTATTTTAATTATTGCGCAGTGCATATGGACTTCATTAAAGCAGCAGTTGCTGCTGTCACTAACGTAATGCCGTCCGGGGCTTTTCTTTGTTTTACCCAGTTGCACTTTCTTAGGTTTTATTTCTACATTAACAACAGCACTTAACTAACATAGCACAGCACGGGAAAACAATTTCTAACCGAGGCCTTTATGAGTTGCTACACTGTGTACATTGACGTAGGAATTCAAGATAGCATTGATTTTGTCTGCGCGTTTTCGTGGAATTGAGGTACATTCAGTACCCTTGGCTCGCCAGATCGAGGAAGTGATAATACCCGTGGCACGTGTCATCCCTGGACGTGTCGTCCGAACAAAAATGGCCGTGGGAAATTGCACGGCTGACATGAATGACTTTTTTATACACTGCTGTGATTCACGCATGGTGTTTAGGTATCAGAAGCTTAGAACTTACTGACCATCGGCATCGTGGAAATGTTTTTATCGGCAGGGGTGGGGTGGGGGGTCATAGACTGCCCGTGAATACACAATTACATGTATGCTTACCGGGTAAGGTTAGTCAATAAGTAGCATCAATGTTAATGGTTGACAGATTGACAGATCTTTCACGAAAATAGCACTGGTTGTTTACACTGCTGCAGGGTGATACGAGTTGTTTGACATGAAAATTACATTTATTAGAACGTTTATGTGGGATGTGTGCATGTGAGAGGGATTCTGTTGGAATCCTGCATGGCTGCGTTGTTATGACTGGAGGGTTTTCTCAGACTGGGAGGATTTGAATGGAAACACCACACCCATTGCCTGGCATGGCTTTCCCAAGCATAACATGATCACACAGGCGTGTTTAACAAATACTGTAGCATGTGTTTGTCAATGTATACACAGCTTTCAAAGTTTTCTGGTTAAGCTTTTGTTTGTGAGACATCTGATTATATTAAGACTTGGTAGTACCTATCCTACCTTTGTTTAACGTGTGTTTATTATTCTTTCCTACGTGTCATGTCCTCTTTCAAAGATGTCGGCGATCATAGCCTTCCATTTAGCTCTCGTGGAATTAAAGAATTACTATTATTTGTTAATATGATTGTAATTCAAGTGGTATCCTATTTCAACATTTGTGTGGGCAAAAATTATTTAATTATATATAAACCAAAGCGCGTTGCATCATTAGCTGATTAAACACTAAACAATGAAGTGTTTGTACACACAGCTGTGATCCTGCCATACCGTGCTTCTGTTACAGCTACGATTTGTGTAATCTTGTGCTGTGCTTGGAAAACTCGTTGATGACACTTGGTTCTGGCTCCACACCCAAGGTTTCTAAATATGGTTCTGGTTTTAAGACTGTCTTAATAGCACACATAAGGTTGCTTAATATGGAGCTGTTTGAAGATATGTGTTATTGGCACATGCATGTGTGTGTGTGTAAACCTGATCTGGATCCATCGTCTTAGGCTTCCAGTGTACTTTTCATGCAACAAGATCACATGGGTGGAAGGGATGTGAGTGGAATTGTGAGTGATGGGTGCAGCGTCACTGTTTCCAAAGAATGTTGCTGACATATTCTTTGTTTGGTGTTGTAGCAGTACAGCGTTCTGGATTTAATGGCGTTTAGAAGAATAACTATTTGCTTAGAAATACAATGAATGATGGTAATCCAAAATGGAAATCTAAAAGATTGTGTAATTTACATTACACAAAACAGGACAAACATCCAGTTTGGGAGAAGTGATGTTCAGGTTTTTAAGGTAAAGGCTTCTCTAACCCAATGTTCTCTTATTAGATGACATTGACATCAACATTAAATAACTACTGCAGAACTAAACTTTCAAACGCTCCCACATTTTATTTTGCTTTCTAGTAATTCAGTTAGAGAAAGCGTTAAAATCCACACATGTTATAAAGTTATGCTTGTGAATTAACTGCTCTGTAAATATCACAAACTCCTATCCCTCTTTAATTTGTACTTCTGTTAGGATGAAAGGTGGAGACAATATTTTACCAGAATGGTTAATTTTTAAATGTTGCATTCTATGCTTGTTCAGTTCAATTCACCATGTAAACATTTAACTTATTCCATGAGAGCTGAGCTCTCGTTGCTATTGTTCTTCGATATATATGGATGAGTTGAAAAGAATAATAGATCAATGTTACAATGAAGACTAAAGGTAGATTCTGATTGGCAAGCCATACTTAAGTTTTCAGGAGTATGTTCGCCAAAATCTTGACATCTTGTTTCACCAATGCAAGTAACTTGTGTACATAAGTTTCTGAAACTGTAGCACGTTATCTGCATATAATGGTGTATAGCTGCCAAGTATTGTCTTATAGCAGTTCGACTGAAAATAATATTGCATATAGTATTCGAAAAAGAAGCGGTATACAATGTTTTTTTTATGTTGTAAGCCATAGCAAGGCATCCGGGTTCGCTGAAAATAATATATCCCGTCTTAGGAAGAACACAATGTAATGTATATATTTTAATCAAGAGCATTACTGGCAAAGTGAGATGTGAGTCACCTTAGTGTATTTAAGTTTATTACGCATGGGAGATGTGATTTACTAATTTATTTGAAGAAATTACTTGTATTTAACACCACTTGCAGGAATAACCAGGTATCTTCCACTCAGCTCCTGCCTTTTGTTTAGCTAATGTACCACACATTTTGCACTTCGATATTTCTAAAATTCACTTACAAAGCTAATGACTTAAAAATGTTACATGATTCTTAATATTTCTATATTCAGTTCTTTATTCAGTGCTACATATAAATAACGTTTTTGTACAAATTATACCCTGAGCTGTACAGGATAGATTTTAATCACCACAATGTGTCAGTTAACACTTGTTATTGTACTGTAGTACATACAGTACTTGGTATTCCAGATACGTTTGAGTGCCTTTTGAATTAAGTAATTGCAGGTAAAATTATATTGTATATATAACATATAAGTTTTGCTTCTGCTGTCTATGACATTGTCTAGTTGAAAAGGAAGTCGGGGTGTAGTGGTGGTGGTGCATTGGTTAGCGCACTGCACTGAACCGATCGCCTTCAGTTTGATTCTCAGCCATGGTGAACATCGGTGATGAGTGGTATCTAAACTGATTCGGTGTGAAAATTCCCACGGGAGGCCTTCATCCAGAAGTGGATTGACAAAAGGCTGGAAATGTTTATTAATCTCAAAAGTTCATTGTTTATTTTTAGTTGGACTCCCACTTATGTAAATTGTATTGTTAACCAGCTCAGGACACATCTTGCAAACTGTGTCGGTGCCATGTAAAATCAGCATGAGTATAGCCAGCCGCACGAGATTCATGAGACATAAGCTGGAGTGCTCATGGGAAGAGGGGTGGGGTGAGTCGTTGGGAGGAGGAGGCATGGGAGACACGAGGAGTGGGGGGACGGCTGGGAGAAGGGGTGAGGCGTTGGTAGGAGGACATGGCGTGATGACATTTCGGGTTTATGTCCCCTCCCTCCGCCATCCCCCACTCCCTGAAGAGAGGCCAGCCCTCTTTATCTGGCCACTTTCCCATTGCATTAATTTACTACTATAATGAGCCAAGAATGTCTGTGTGTCCCGCGCGTGACGTCACTCCACGTCGGCCCGCCCCCTCATTAATAATCATGAGCAGGGGACGTCACTCCACATGGGGGGGGGGGGGGCGAGGCACCTCCCACCACCTCGGCGTCAACTTACAACCCTGACTACAAAGGCAGAACCCTCACGTCACGCGATCTCCATAACGCTTTTGAGACATAGAAGTAAAAAGGACGTCATGATGAACAAGGGATTATAACCTTTAAATGAAATAAGTCTGTCACTGCGGCCTAGTTATTATTATACACGTCTAGCTTTACCTGGCTTCGCCCGAGATTTGGATTCTTGTCTTGGATTAATACACGGCCTACGCGGAGGATGGGGAGAGATGCGTGACGTCAGCAGGCACACTGAGTAACGCTGCCGCATGCGGGTGACATCACAGATGTGACGTCACCGTTCACTTGCCGTGCAAAATATGAATGCATTATTGCGCCCCCCCCCCCCCCCCCAAATACAAAAGTCTATTTTTATATATTTTGCATTGTGTACAGTCTGGAAGCTACCCACATGCCAAATTTCAAGTTTCTAACATTTTGGGAAGTATGCTAAACATTTTGAACAGACACATTCACAAATTTCCCTTTCATATTATTATACACGATTTTACTACAGGATATATGTGTTTAGTTCATTGTCCTTCCCCCGCACCTCCGATTAGCACGGTTGGCTACGTACGGTGAGAAAGAATTTCAACATAATAAGTATAGTTTTTTGTTAACGAAGCAGCATCTTTTTACATGTACAGACCTGAAAATATCTTTTTGTCATAATTAAGAGTGGCATTTTGTTTCTTAACCACAATCTCATAACTTGAGCAGGGTTGGTCGCCTGTGCTTATTAACATTACTCTGGGCTCTCAGTAAGCGATCACAACTTTTCAGTTTAAGATGTACGTTGTACAACATACAGGGTTGGAGCAGTGGTTTGTGCCTTGCGCGATAAACCTGGGCACTGAGCTCGATTGTCAAGCTTTTGAATGATAGATACCTGAATTGCGCCTGGTTCCCCCTTCCTTCACAAACCAGCATTGGCTCGTGCCGTGAAGCATTGTCAAACACATTTTTATGGTGACATGGCATGGGGAGGGAGGCCTTCATGTGTCAGTGTGATTAAAACGAGTGTTTCAATGTGTTTACTTATTATACAGCATAGTTAAGTAGTTCGTAAAACCCCCACAACCCGCTAGATGTGGGGAGGATTACATCTAGCAGTGGATTAACAAAGGGGTTGTACAAGTCCTATGCAGTACAGTATATATAGAAAGACAATTTTGGAAAAGATCGTGTCCATGATCTGTGCAAACAAGGCAGGTTTATCTACAGTTAATACCATCAGACAGCACCAAGTATACCGGGTTGTACTGTAGTTCTTAACAAAATGCCCCTTAATTAGAGTATAAATCTTAAACTCATACAGAATTAACTAAATGTTCTAAAGCCCCTCCCAGATCCGAACCAATTGCATAAGCAGGCAGCTTAGTTCTGTAAGTAGAGTACTGTCATTACAGGGGGTGTTATCCAAGGAGTACCATTTGTCAACATATGGGGAGGATTACATAATTAATATGCAGTTTGAATGTTGCCAGGTAAACATTTTAATAATGTGAAATGTTTTACACGTGCGATTATCGTTAAACAGCATAACATCTAATAAGGAATAATTGAGACAACATCCTGTGTTTTTACTGGGAGCTGGTTTTTCTTAGGGTAGTATTCGTAATATGAGATGCAAGTATTCAGTGTTAGCAAGTGAGACGGCAATGGTGGTAACATTGTCTCCTGAAGAATGGCACACTGTGAAATGCTGTCCTCCCCTATGGCAGTCAAGTTTGAACTCCAGCTCGTGTTTGATCTTGTAATCTGAAGTGCAGTGCACGTTTACGATAAAATGTTCTTGCATCTTACGCCGAGTTTCATTTTCAAACGGCATTTGCGGTTATTGATGATTATGTAAATATGAATTGCTGGTTATGGATCTCGTGATAGGAGGGATTTGCCATGCAGTGAAATGTATGGGTTGTTTCATGGTCGATGGAACTGAACACAAACTAATTTGACACGTTTTAGGCATCTCTATTGTGGTGCGTGCATTGGAAGCGAGGAATAATTATTTAATTTTCATGTTGTACAGTATAGTGTAACCCTAAGGTAGGGTGGTAGTCTTGATAACCAGCTACGAAAATTTGTGACATTTACACCATCGCACCTAGGTTACTTTACAAATGTTATTCACATTTAAAACATGCCACGCAGAGATGTCAGGCTTTGGATATTACGGCAAAGCACGTGGTCTGACCATGAAATGAACATGACATCTGTAATTTACCGATAACCTAATTCAATAACTAATGACAATCAGGAACATACAATGGAGTTGATTGTTTATAACCATAGCCTACCGTGACAACATTTGTCGCAAAAATATTGATATTTGGTTGAATTACACGTATAGTATTAGTTATGTTTTAATAATAACAAGTTTTGGTATTTAGATGATGCACAGTAGAAAACAATTACACATTTGCTTTTGTACAAGCTATATATTTAGTATTTCAGGATATTACTCTCTCTCTCTACACTGGTTTGGATTTAAACTATGAATATGACTGACCAATAATTTAGCCCATTGCATCATATCGTTAAACTGCTGTCTGGACATTAATTAAGCCCTTGCAAATAATTTATTTGATTTGGTTCCAAAATGGTTCGTGATTTTTTTTGCAGTCCTCGATGGAAAAAATAACGTTTTTCACGTGCAAATATTTTTGTTAACGTAAATTGGCGAATGCACATTTTTGGATTGACAAAAGAAATACTAGTTTGCCTCATCGCCAATACAGCGGGATGAAATTGAAAAAGGAAATAAACTTTTAAAGAAAGGAACCTTTTTTTGCACGTGACTTTCAGAGAATGAAATGTTTAGTCGCAAACAAAGCCACTTGATTTTGAGTCGGGTCGGATCCATGTTCTTTTAATAGCGTTGCCTGACGAAAAGAACATTTAGTTTCTGTTACATTTTGAAAGTGCAATGTTTTCATTTCAACTCGAGGGTGGGTGCAATCAACGGTGCTATTATTGGAAGCGGTAACAGCATTTTTGTAAAACGATATGCGTTAAGTACTGTAAAGTCACACGCTGCAGTAATGTTCTTGCTATCACATGACCTGCTCAAGCATGCCAGTGTAGTGCATAGCTAACAGACCGAAAAGCATCTGAGTTGCTGCACATAGTGCATGCACACTGTATGGCTGTATTGAGAGCATTCCGTTGCTGAATGTTTGGCCACTAGCCATACAATAAGGGTCCTCTGTTTTTATTGTTTTGTTCCTACACTTAGAAAGCAGACTGATTATTGTTTGAAAAGTTTTAGTGATCAACATATTGTGCTCCATGTAAAAAAAACACAAACATTTCATTTCCTTCAATTTTAAATTGAGGCTTTTTATGAATTGAGTAAGGACATATTGACCAGAACATCCAAAGTACTGTCGACTACTGCAGAACCAGCAATAATAAAAATGCGCTTACCAATGTGTGAATTTCCAACAGTTATATGTAAGGCTTGATAAGATCAGGTATGCATCACAAGTTCTTAACATTTGGGAAACTTGTTTCTGCATTAGATTTCACTGGTTTCACAAGGTTGTGCGAAGAAGAGTATGTTTACATGAAAACATTTTCATAACCAAAAAAATACTTTATGCTTTATGAGAAGACTCACAACAAATATGTGACGTTACATAAAATAAATAGTTTAAAATCACAAAAAGCCATATTATTTGAACCGGACGCTTGTGAATTTTAAATGTGAAGAGCGGTGTGCTGCCAGGCATCTTTTTTTATCCTGAGTGGTTAGAAGTTGTTGTACTGTGCCAGCTTATATAAATAGCCAGGGTCTGTTTACATGAAATTTAATTCCATATTCACGTTCAGAATAGAGCTGTGCTGAACAAAAAAATTACTTGCAAATAATGGTACTGGGACGATTTTTGGCACAACTTTTTTTTCTCATGAAAAGTCAAATAAGGTCATGATTTGTGCCACCGATTAAATTAGTTTTAAACTGTCTTTCATTTACATCAGAACATTTCCAAATAAGCTTGATTTTTGAAAGTTATAAAATAATGATACGTTTCACTTACATTTAATGAAATATTGTTATTTTCTTGCCACCACACATATCTTCTGTAAGATAAATACATTTAACCTGTAAATGTGTTATAAACTTTTATGCCATATTTTTATGTGTGTGCATTTTAGTGTCAAGTCAGCAGTGGTTGTCCAATGGAAAATCTGGCCCCCACCATACAAATGTGGACTTTTCACTGGTTTAGGACTGCCAATGGAGATGATCACTCTTAATGCTTGTTTACGTTTGGGAACAAACGTTTATAATAATGATGTTACAATTGCATTCTGGTTTGTGGTTAAAAACTAATGACAGGAATTCAACGTTTGCATATGAACGGTTCATTATAAGAAAAAAGTAATATACAATATGAACCTCTTGCTTATGATAGATAGCATATCTTTCTGAGCAATTATGTTCTCATGAAGTGGTCTTTTATAATTAGTCTATCACAACATATAACACTTGTGTGTTGGGTCATTTCTTTTCATTTCCTTCCCTGTCTTATAATTCTTTGGAACAGATGGGCACCCCAGCCAACACACCAGCAACGCCGCCAAATTTTCCCGATGCGCTGGCCATGTTTTCGCGACTCAGGACATCGGAAGCCCTCCAGGGTGGCAGCCCCGCTGCCATGGCCACCTCGCCGCCAGCCTTTGGCAGCTGTGGCGGCTACAGCAACTACGGTCAGCTATGGGCCGCGTCAGCCTCTTCCCCACCCAGCATGGGCGCTCGTGTCCCGATGTCTGGTGGCACCGTGGCAGCTACAGCAGCGATGTCTCCTCCCCTCATGCTCCATCCCAGGATGCAACCTGGAGCACCTGCACAAATGCACTACCAGCAACCGCAAGCAAACCACGTGCCAGAGGCAGAGAGATGACTTTCAGCACCAAAGGACAACTTTTAGACCTTGTGCATTCAAGATTAATTTTGCATTGTAATGGGACGGTTATTGAAACGTGAAGAAAGCTTGGCTTAAAACTTTCATTGTTGATTTCCCTCTTTATTTGGAATTGCAGCGTTTTGGAAGGCCGCAAAATTACAGAATGGTTTGTCTTGTTTTAGTGCTGTGGTGAAGTAGTTAATTATGGTGTTCATGATATTGGGTTTGCAGCAAGCCTGTGTGGTATAATTGCATACTTCATTTTGTGAAACACATTTTGATCAGGGAAATGTTTAGCTGTCTGGTGTAAATGTGCGTCAGCTCATAACTTCGCTTTTTGGTAACGTGGTTTAAACCTCCCATTAAGCTAAATAATGAGAAACATTTTTTCAAAATGTATGCTGCATCTTTGATATACTTTAGGCTTTTGTAAAAAAATTATGGGATTTTAAACAAAAAGCATGAGAGTGCAATGTTTAAAAATGAAATTTAGCAAAGGTCGTAACTGCACTTATGTGAATAAAATCCGTTTAATAATTGCATAGGAATAGTTATTGGTTTATCATTAGAGTTATCTTGTTTTTATACGTTTTGGAGGAAACTCGATTAACTTTAAGTATAACAAGTCTTTTATTCTCAGTTTTCATACAAGGAAAATTCAGTTCTTATCAGTATTCCTCAGTGCTGTCAGTGTTTCTTCATAGCTGACAAGGTGGTTAGTCACATTTACATTATATTTAAAATGTAATTTAAAAAACATATCTGAATTTAAATATTTTTTTCTTTCTTTAAATGCGAAGGTATGACAACAAAGTATGATATTTGCCATTATGAAATTGCTATTAACTTGGACCTTTTAAAAATCTACAATTGAGATTACTCAATTACTTATAAAATAAAATTGTGATTTCATTGGCAAGGTGATATTAAATGCTGTAGAATTAAATGTTGTAACTAACATTGGGGAAAGAACCTTTATATGATGCAAACATCGCCGATCGTTAGAACCGTCGACGAGCTCTTTTATAATGATGATTTTACATTGATATTGAAACACTGGTCAGCACACTGATAACCAGCAATAGCATTGCAACACCTATTGCCATCAAAACGTCACATTTTCATTTGTTTGTCAGGAAACATTTTTAAATGCATGCCATGGTTTGGCAATGTAGCACATTGTTAATATATTGTCATTTGAGTACGGTGGTTTTTAATAATACACTTTATGTGCGAAAAAATGAAAATAGCATTCATTGTTTTGGCTGTATTTGTACATCCTTTCACCTACATAGTTTTGTTAAACTTTTTTCCATACATAAATCGTCCTTTCTTTTGGTCAGTCTTTTGTATTAAAGTTTTCTACCTGCTTTTATGGCCACAGGGCCAGCCGTGGTTTTCTTAGAGAGGAAGGCAGGCTTTGAACTTGTTTGTGTTTTTCTTTCATAAAGCACAGTTAAGACCCGCATAATAGCACTCCAGATAAAGTCACCAGCTAATTGTCATAAAATGTGACAATAAGGCATCTTAATCATGTTGGTTTAATGCCTTTTAATGTCATCTCCGTGAAATCACCTCTGCATATTGTGATGCAATTTTGGAGACTCAAGTAGCATATTACGCGGGTTCCAAAGTGGCCTACTTATTTCATGGAAATAGTTACTAATGTATCGCTTGTAGTGACCGATTTATGATGTGTGTTCCTCGTGCTTGTCGTGCATCGTCACAAACGTTTGGGAGCGCTGCATTCAGAGATTAGCGCATGGCTTGTGTGAAAAATAAAATTCTTAGTTATTTTTCACTTGGTGTGGTGGTTTTGTGAGATTTCTCGAATCTAGTCATTTAAAGATAAAACATATAAGTCCAGTTTCATGTTTCTGTGGTGGCATTTTGGTTTAAGATAATGTAAATGCATGTATGTTGAACTTATTTTCGCACCGTATGTAGCCTATCTTGCTAATGTGAAGTAATGTACACCTGCACCTATTGCGACTGATGTCAACAACATTCTGACGAAGCCTGACTCGAGTAAGCCGGAATTCAGGTTAAGCCGAATTTAGCTGGTCTCGGGAAACGGTAGGATACAGCATGAGCTAATGCCTCTCTTGTTTAGGAAATACTATATGAACGTATTGGCGGTATACCTGTGCTCAGTATAAAATGCACATTTTTCGCAATAATTCTTTGTTTTATTTGTTTTCCTGCGATTCGCAACCCTTGTCAGAAAATCTTGCGTCAAAATCAGTTCACATGATGTCGAAGCAGTCGGAAGACTCACGTTATGAGCAGCTTAACATGAAGCGTCACGGTCTGTTGCCGTACAGCACCCAGCTTGATGACGATTGGCTCCGTGTTTTTACTCGTGTCAGATTTCAATCGTGCCCTAAACGTGGTGGGATGGTTAGGGTAAGGTCAGGGTTAGATAAATACGAGCACTGACTTTTCATGAATAATTTGGTTCTTCATGAGATATTTATATATTGTCCTCATTTATCGTTGATATCACAAAAGCCCTAGAGACCCCAACACTCTGCTTGTCGTACTATCCATCGGCGGTTCAAGACGACGACGACGACAATGAAGATGGTGCTCCAGTCCCACCTAAGGCTCGCAAGAAAGCTGCTGTTGCCCCAGGGGCTCGAACCTCCTTGTCGGCCCAAAAAAATCAAGTGCCCCGGGCCCAATGAACGGTCAATATTAGCATTTTTTTTTATAGTCTCAGCCGAATGAAATAACCCTTCGGATCGCGCCAAACTATGTGACAGTGTCAATTAAAGACTGATCACAGATTTGTTGACTAAAATTTTTATTTCAGACGTGTATTACGTGTGTCATGCTGCACCGGTGTACCGCCAATACGTCCATATTCACTTATTTTGATTAGGGGTGTTCAACTTTTCCCCTGACAATTGTAATTCACGTACAGCAGATATAACTGATGTGCATTTGTGTACTCGCATTTCATAAGCTCTCTAAAGCATGCACTTAACTATCGTGTAGAATTTGGTGAACCTGTGCCCTTGGATGGGCACTTGACCTTTCCTGTAGTGCTCTGGTTTTCCACATTGTTTTTTATTTAAAAGTTTAACCTTCAGCCTTCCACATCGAGTGATGGTAAACTGTGCAGTACACGTGACCGAATTGGTTTTCTTAAAATGTAAGTATTAAGTTAGTAAATAATTAGTTACTCGGGTATTAAATGTTATTTAAATATGTTCCAGGTTAATTACGTTATAAATGTCACGTCGCTGTAGCAAGCATGAATAAGTGAATTATTTGCAGTATGTCGGGCAACCCCCCGAAATCGGAAAGCCTCTTCCCCACACCCTTACCACCAACCACGAGTCCAGCTTCAGGAGGTCAAAATCTACTGACGTAAAAACAAAAAATGTCACTCCAGACCAGTCGTTTTTGTCGGTGACTCTCAATGTATATTACGGACAAAAATGCAGTCTCTATACCCTAAATGTGGGGAAAATCATCCACGTACTGTCCAGTATTAAGTCCTTTGAGTACACTATGTAACGTTACTGAAGAGGCAACTTGGATGCAAAATTAAATGCAATATTCTTGTTCTCATTTTATAATTGGTCTCTTAATGGGTGTTATACTATAAATATAAAGTATTAAACATTTACTATGATAAATATGCATATTGTACACTTAATATGAATCATGGAAGCTGTGCAGTTAGTTGGCCTTTGTTTTACACTGCAGCAATGCAGGTGCATTTGATAACGCACCTTGAAAACTTACTTAGAGTATTTTAAGATTTAAATATTTTTGTATAACTAAAAATGGTAATTTTATGGAGAATTGTCAGCTGAGTGTAGCACGGTATTCGAATGGCAGTACTGTACTGCACATACGGCTTGTATGCATTTCCATAGGAGGGGGAACTGGATTTCTGCAATTCCCCCATGTACACAGCAAACGACACTAAGTGACATTTAGTGGTGTGTGACCTTGGGAGGTGATCACATGATAGGAAATGTGCCACTGACCTTGTGACCGGAGGTTAGATCAGCATAACACGTGGATCATTCATGAGGGGTAATGGTAATCCATCACAGTTGGCAAGTGACCAGTTTCCAAGGCTTGTAACTGTTGTAGTTTACGCAACACCCTTTGGCATTCATGGACATGTAACAATACTCTGGCGTCACATCACAGACATTTAAATCTGCACGTCACTTTCTGCACTAATTTACATACACAATGATTTGTAGTACTGCACATAATCCGTAACTTTTATATCTTTAAAACTATCACAATCTATCGACCAATGTGGATTCAGAGCAACAATTTCAATTTCACATTCAGGTGGTCAAGCTACATAACCGTGGCAGGAGCGCCGAAATGTGTCAGTGTCCCTTTGTTAATTTCTCAAGACTTTGAGGGCTCTTTTTTGCCTTAGCTGTCAAAATACTTTCTAACAACCTCTGTTGGTGTGTGCCTGCCGCACCGCCACGATGGTGGTGTGAAGCAATGGGCACATGCAGCTGGTGCTGAGCTTAGCCTGGCCACTACTTGTTGAAAAATGCAATCGGACCGGAGGCCAAAATCAGGCTTGCGTTATATGGTACAAGTGTTGTAATTCTATTGCTAAAGACTTGGCAAAGCCTAACTGATCTGTCTGTTTTTTTATTTTTGTACTCGGGGCACTTAGGTTGAAAGACTATCGTGGTAGAAAAACCATGTTCTAGAGAGCTTCTAATAAATAAACAGCAGCCGTGTAATTTATAAAGTGCGATCGCAATGCTGTATTTTTGGTACACAGTAAACCCACATTGACCAGCATGGTGAAGTATGGACATGCCCCCCCCCCCATGTTATTATAATGTAATAATTTTTTTCTTGGATTAAATACATTTCATTATATTTGTATGTGTAGTAGGCATCACAACGAGAAGCTGATGCTGCTGAATGAACAAAAACACATCCATCTGCTGTGTTTGTACAGCACACCTGGAGCAGCTGTCTCAGCAAGTCGGACCAGTGCCAACAGTTGTGCACAGTTAATCTCCAACATTAACTGCTGAACGATGCGGTGTAACGTGACATTTCAGCATATGTCTGGACACATTCATCATTAGTCTGCCTTGTTAAATATGTTTTCATATTTTTGTAAGTACAGTACCGTTGAAATGTTACATTGGTGTGAATAGTGGCACTGGTTATCGCACAGCGCTATGAACGCAGTGACCTGGATTCGATTTCTCAGTCATGGCCAATGTCACAGTGGTGTATGTCCTGGATCCTCTTTAACACATCATCCTCTGGTTGTGTTCAAGTACGGCCAAGCAAGCCCTATGACCGATGTAGATTCACAGAGGGCTGCAATTCTTTTTTTACTGAACACTAAATTTTATTGGAAAGTGTAAAAATGTGATGCAGTTGTACATGTTGTTCTTGACATGAACATGCTAGATTTTCTTGACATACCTACGATACTTTATGTACAAATAATGATTTGCACGTGTCTTATTCTAAATACTCTACACTGTATATTTTTAATTGGAATACTGTACTTTATAAAACGTCTCTGCTTAAGCTCTAGCAGTCCGACTGTTCAGGATGAAATACGTCAGTTGTAAATCCCTCCACTTACCAGTGCGGTGAAGTATAGTCAAACACCCCCCATGACCGACATGGTATTGCGGATGCCTCCATACATGATCGGATTGACAAAGGGCTGTAGTTATCAATATTGTGTGTCAAGGAAACAAGACGCGTCATCTGCCCTGTACAGCTCATGCTCGTACTTTGTACTCTGTAAACGTGTTTGGTTGAACCGAGACCAAGGGCAATAAAACTCAATGTAACCTGTTGTTTAACGACTGCCATGCTTATAAATCTTAACACTGTCAGTGTAGACTGGTAACAATACCGTGTTTCTGTTTGAAATCGGGAAAGCTTTACAAGGCTTTGTAAGAGTTTTTGTAGACTTTTTTTTACAAGCCAATAATCGGATTAGGGAAGATGCTTGCGGCAGGGAACACCCAAGAGGATGACCATCACAGAGATGGAGCAATAGCATCAGCTCATGTGCAGAAGCCAAGAGGCATTGTGTTATCGCACGTAGCACCATGAGCAGTGGATAGTACACGGCTGATATTCTACCTATTATTATTATTGCTTGTGGGCAAGGTGGAGGGATTTAATTGAAACAGAATGATCTTAACATTGACTCTTCTGACACATTCACAAATATTGGCGTGCTTCTCTCATGCAGTAGCATTGCACACAAGTCCTCAATGGCTGAAGTGAGTTGTGTAGGAATGGGCAGCAGTTGTGGAATGGTTGAGTTTACGTCGGTGTTTTTAGTCCTGGAAACCCAAGGCACTTTGGCAGCCAACTCGCATGTTGGGAATGTTGTGTCCTTTAGAAAAATGTACGGGAAGTAGTAACCCAAACATTCCAGTAGTTTAGGACTTCATATAATGGGTCCACGATGGAATTTCTACATGTTAATGATACAGTACCGTACTTGTGTGCTTATTGAGAGTTATTGCTGATCTCACGTGATCTCCGAATGTTGTTTTGATAAACGTTTCCGCTTGAATGTTAAGTGTATGAGGTCTCGTATGTGAAATTTCGATTTAAAGCTTTCGTGACTGCAGGGATTCATCTTCTTGGTTCTTTCGGTAAAGTCACGTAGAAGGGAAGTAATAAAAGAATAAAAATAAAACACAATGCATCCGAAAGAACCAAGAAGATGAGTCTCGTATGTGTTTACGTTGGTCATATGCTTTTCTGGCTTTTAGATAAATACTGTACAGAAACTATTGTAAACCCATA